ATCGATATCAGCAACAAAGAGACATTTTATTTACAGTCACCAGTGTTTGAGAACACTTCAACAACAAGTAATCAGTCAGTCAACTTAGAGATAGATATCAACAATCACAAGTTCACAATGTTGTTCGTTGTCACACCTATCAGAGCGATATATAAGGTGATCATTGGCAACAATAAGGCAGCTGAGACAGCAGCAAGAGAATGGATGCGAGCAAGGGAATTGGAGAGTCAGTTTATGGAAGAGTTCAGTGACGTCATTGTGGATGAGATCACCACTGGATTGCCACCAGCCAGATCAACTGACCTTAAGTTGAAACTCATTGATGAGAACAAGATCATGCGTGGTTACCCTTATCGCAAGTCACCCAAACAGCAAGAGGCAATGGATCAGATAACCAAGCGACTGTATGAGAGAGGTTCCATCATTCCATCGACAGCAGCACATGGATGCACAGCCAATGTCATTTGGAAGAAAGATGGACGACCAAGACTGATCATTGACTTCAGACCAGTAAACAACAACATTGTCACAGCAACAGACAATATACCAAGAACAGACGACATCATCAATCGATTTCAATCCAACAAGTGGTTCACAGATGCAGATATGATTGATGGTTATTGGCAATGTCGTGTCTCACCAGAGAGTTCAAAGTACCTCAACTTCAGCGATGGTCGTCGTATGTGGTCCTGGGTTGTACTACCGCAAGGTCTCTCATCGTCTCCTAGCGTATTCAATCAAGCGATCGCAGCCATCTTACAAGAAGACAATGACAACTCACAGTTCAACTACTTTGACAACATGTATGTGGCATCAGATACACTAGAGAACCATGCCATCAATGTAAGACGATTCTTACTGAAGTGTCGTCACAACAGCATCTACTTGAAGAAGTCCAAGACACATTTGTTTGAGAACAAGATCGAAGTGCTTGGATACCAAGTACAGTGTGTCGCATAAGTAATTGAACACCTATCTTTTTGTTGTTGTATKATTGATATCTTTTRCAAAATAGGARTTGTGAATAATCTGATCAGTGCAAACGATAGAGAATTGAGTATTGTATATTATATCTGAGATTTAATTTTTTTGGAACTATTYCAAAAGACTTTTCAAATATATAATAAAATAGTGTGTTTTTKAAGGTGTTCAATTACTTATGCAAAAAAWTTTGTYAGGTGGACTGACTATTAAAAGAATGTCGGTGAAGTAAGATTTTGTTTCATAAATGGTCCTCCAACAATATGAATATATACCCCTTTTTATTGGGTTTGTAGGGAATCATCCAACGAAAATATGATKRCCTTAACTTTGGATGCYATTTCACCARTTCAGAATTCTTTAAARTGAATGACATGGATTCTAATTATCCTGAAATAATCTCTCCTTTTGATTATAAGCAGAGAGATGTCTACTATATTTGAATAATTGTATATGRGTTAGAARAAAAAATATATTTAAATGTTTATACCAAAATGGTMGGTGTCTTATGAWAATATGARGTTCGAACAATCGTCAATAACTAACTAGGAACAAGGGGTCATCTTACAACAATAATATATTGTTGGAGCCTAGGACTCATTAATTATTTCTAACTTTGTATTGATATCTCAGGTGACGGGTTTTATTGGTGAACTGAGCATATCGTCSGATTAATGACTCAYAAAAACTTTTGGTGAGTGGATGTCAACTTGATACATTGAATAAATCCTTTCCAAAGCGCTGTCATAAATATTATWATAATCATTCTATTGAATGTTTAATCTTCACTTATGAAAGAGTTACTCATCTTTTAAAATGTAGATTTTATAGTATTTTAAATATCAATGGTAATTTTTATGCCWTATGTTCAACCTATCACATGATAAACATATGAAGAGATGAAACCTTGGGTGAACGGTGCTAACAATAATCAAAGAACAYTGGCCATACTATAAATCAGTAATATTCATTTGACTGTAGCTAATTTTTATCAAAGGTATCGCTTATAATTCCTGCTCATCKGACATCTCCTTAAAACAAGTATTATTAGAAATGACACCTCGAAAAAATTGATAAAATTTCCAAAAAAATTAATTAATACTTTTCATAAAAGATCTATCTTTATGAAAAGTATCAATAGTAAGTGTCCMCATCGATAGWGATGGAAATATTTTTTCATTGGATTTTGATGATACTATTTTTGTTAATTAATTGAATTTATAAATTGACTCTCTGATTGAATGAGTGACATGCCTAAATAGAACTCGTCGTRAACTTTTAGGWTATATATAAWATATATWTTTTGTTCATAATTAAGATAGCCAATCAATCAAAATACAAATTTTTCATAAGTTTTTGAACACTCAAAMAAACACACCTCCTCATTGTTTAAACTATAACTTTTTCAGAATTAATWMAAATAATTCAATAGTATAATATTATATATAGCACTTAATTGTCTATACAATGCACTGATCMATTCAATCCCAGCTCMTATTTKAACGAAGATATCAATCATACAATGCCAAAAAAGTAAGTGTTCAATTACTTATGCGACACACTGTAACAAAGAGTTGACACTCGATGTTATTCAAATCAAGATAGATAAGAGAGTTGCCTCAGCAATCGTCGATACAGGGGCCAACTACTGTCTCATTGATCCATCAATTATTGCAGACATGAAGATCGATATCAGCAACAAAGAGACATTCAATATACAGTCACCAGTGTTTGAGAACACTTCAACAACAAGTAATCAGTCAGTCAACTTAGAGATAGATATCAACAATCACAAGTTCACAATGTTGTTCGTTGTCACACCTATCAGAGCGATATATAAGGTGATCATTGGCAACAATAAGGCAGCTGAGACAGCAGCAAGAGAATGGATGCGAGCAAGGGAATTGGAGAGTCAGTTTATGGAAGAGTTCAGTGACGTCATTGTGGATGAGATCACCACTGGATTGCCACCAGCCAGATCAACTGACCTTAAGTTGAAACTCATTGATGAGAACAAGATCATGCGTGGTTACCCTTATCGCAAGTCACCCAAACAGCAAGAGGCAATGGATCAGATAACCAAGCGACTGTATGAGAGAGGTTCCATCATTCCATCGACAGCAGCACATGGATGCACAGCCAATGTCATTTGGAAGAAAGATGGACGACCAAGACTGATCATTGACTTCAGACCAGTAAACAACAACATTGTCACAGCAACAGACAATATACCAAGAACAGACGACATCATCAATCGATTTCAATCCAACAAGTGGTTCACAGATGCAGATATGATTGATGGTTATTGGCAATGTCGTGTCTCACCAGAGAGTTCAAAGTACCTCTTTTTTTTTTTTTTTTGTTTTATGTGGTCCTGGGT